AGGAAGATTGGGCTATTTGGATGGTTCAATTCCACAGCCCAAAATTGAAGACCCTTCTTATGCGAATTGGGAAGCTCAAAACTCCATGGTGATGGCGTGGTTGATTCACTCGATGGAAGACAACATTACAGATACCTACATACTGTTTCCCACGGCAAAAAAAATCTGGGATGCTGTAAACTTGGCCTATTCTGATTTAGAGAATGCCTCACAGATGTTCGAATTGAGAAACAAGGTGAGAAATCTGAAACAGTGGGAGAGTGATGTTACATTGACAAGACTTTGGCAAGAATTGGATCTCTTCTCATCTCCATCTTGGAAAGACCCCGAAGATGCAGTCTTGTATAGAAGGATGATAGATCAGGACCGGATATATGATTTCCTTGCAGGACTTAATAATAAAGACTTGGATGAAGTCCGTGGCCGATTGCTAGGAATGAGACCTCTACCCCAAATTGAAATTTTTTTTTGCTGAGGTGCGTAGAGAAGAAACAAGAAAGGAGGTGATGCTTGGAGAAAATATGCAGAATTTAGAGAACTCTGCACTTGTTGTTCGTGAACGTGGACAGGAGAATCCAGGGGAAGGAAAAAATAACAAGAAGTGGTGCGAACATTGCAAGAAACCTTATCATACCAAGGAGACTTGCTGAAAACTACATGGCAAACCGACCAACTGGACACCTCGGAACTATGGACGTGAAGGAAAGGGATTTCGGGCAGCTGCCAAGAAAACTGATGAAGAATTAACCACTCTAGCCACTGCAGCACTGGTTTTCTCCAAGGAACAGCTGGAACAATTAAGGCAGATGATGACACAATCATCTTCCCACTCATCATCTCTCTTAGCTCAAAGAGGTAAAGCATTAATTGTTTTTTGTGGCTTGGCAGAAAAAGAAGAACCATGGATTATTGACTTAGGAGCAACGTACCACATGACTAGTTGTGGTAAACTTTACACCACATATATTCCCAGCGCTGGAAACCGCAAAGTGAGATTGCCAATGGGACCTCCTTTGTGGTGGCCGGTACTGGGACTATAAGAATTGGACCTAGTCTCACGTTAAAAGGGGTTCTCCGTGTGCTAGTCTCACGTTAAAAGGGGTTCTCCATGTGCCGAATCTAAGTTTTAATCTTTTGTCCATAAGTAAGATAACCAAAGACTTAGACTGTGAAGTAATTTTTCTGCCGTCTGTTTGTATCTTTCAGGACCGATTATCGGGGAAGAGGATTGGCAGTGCTGAGGAGCTGGATGGCCTATACTACTTTAAGGATGATTCTGCGTTAATGGGAAAGCTCATATGGTTACAAGCAATTATATCTCTAGAACTCAAAAAGTTATGTTATTGCATTATAGATTAGGACATCCTAGTTTCCCTTATTTGAAGTTTTTGTTTCCATTTTTGTTCAAGAATAATGAAAAATTTCAATGTGAAGTTTGTCAATTAGCAAAGCACACTCGTGTTCATCTCTTTCCTTTACCATACCGTGCATCAAAACCATTCATTCTTATTCATAGTGATATTTGGGCACCTTCTCGTATTTCAAGTCTCACCAACAAAAAATGGTTCATAACCTTCACCAATGACCACACACGTGTTTGTTGGGTTTATCTCCTAAAAGAAAAATCCGAAGCCAGGAATGTTTTCAAAGAATTTCATGCAATGATTAAAACACAATTTGATGAGAATATTAAATTCTTGAGAACTGATAATGGCACCGAATTTTTCAATGCCATGTTAGGGGAATTTGTGAGAAATAATGGAATTATCCAACAAAATGGAGTGGCTGAGAGAAAAAATTGTCATCTTTTAGAAGTTGCCCGGTCATTAATGTTTACAGCAAATCTTCCTAACCGTTTTTTGGGGTGACACAGTTCTAACTGCAACATACTTGGTAAATAGGGTACCTTCTCGAGTTCTCAAATTTCAAACACCGATAGAATGCCTATACAAATCCTACCCAGAGGCTCATGTTCCTTCTTCTCTAGAGTTAAAAGTGTTTGATTGTGTTGCCTTTGTCCATAACCTTGATCCTAACCTAGGGAAATTAGACCCTAGAGCTCATAAATGTATTTTTTTGGGGTATTCTACAACTAAAAAGGGCTATAGGTGCTACTCCATAGAAAAGAGAAAGTACTTTGTGTCTAGGGATGTCACCTTCTTTGAAGATCAACCTGCGTTTACCAAAAATTTCCTTCAGGGGGAGAAAATATGGGGAGATAATTTTTGGGAGAAGTCAAAATATCCTGTAGTTCCAAACTCCGAATCTTTGGACCTCAAGTCTTGGGAATTTTTTTGGGATTTTGCTCCTCCTCTAGAAATTAAAAACGGTGAACCTAGGGATTCTAGTCTTAATGAAACATCTCCTGAAGTAGAGAATCATGGTAAAAAGTTTAAAAATATTCTTGGCTTAAATCAGACAGATCCACCTGTTATAGAGCCTGAAAATTTCCCGACCACTACTGTAGAAAATTCTATTAAAATTCCGGATAATGTTCAGTCAAATCTACCCGTACTTGAACCACCTACCATCACAGAATAGGTAGATAATTCTTCACAGCCTGACAATCCCACACAAGTTCAAAACCTTAGAGCACCAAAGTCTATAATGCAAGAACATAAAAAAATTAAGGAGGGTGGTCTGCAACCATTTGATCTAACCTATTCACGCAGGAAGAACCAAAAAGTTGGAGAAAGCCAGAAGGTTACTCACCACCAAGAATCTAACCCAGAGTCTGGTCTTGAGTTGGAGGATTTAGGCATTCTTATTGCTCTGAGAAAGGGTACCAGATCCTGTACCAAACACCCTATAACCAATTATGTAGGGTATGATAATTTGTTAGGACCAATTAAAGCCTTGGTGTCTAATATGGCAAGTGTGGAAATACCGAGAGATATCCAGGAGGCAATGGAAAAAGTGGAATGGAGACAAGCTGTCTTGGAAGAAATGGGAGCTCTAAAGAAGAATGGCACGTGGGACATTGTGAAAAAACCCAGAGATAAGATTCCAGTTGGGTGCAAGTAGGTATTCACAGTCAAGTATAAGGCATATGGTTCAATTGAAAGATATAAAGCTCGGTTGGTGGCTAAGGGCTACACACACATGTATGAAATAGATTATCAAGAGACCTTTGCACCTGTAGCCAAAATTAATACTGTTCGAGTTTTGTTGTCTCTAGCAGCAAATTTAGATTGACCATTGCAACAACTTGATGTGAAAAACGCATTTCTTAATGGTGACCTGGAGGAAGAAGTTTATATGGAGCTATGCGCGGGTTCAACAAAGATGGAAGGTGTGATGAAGTGTTCAGGTTGAAGAAATCACTATATGGCCTAAAGCAGTCACCACGAGCTTGGTTTGACCAATTACTAAGGTGATCAAAGAGTAGGGATACAAGCAGGCTGCAGGTGATCACACACTATTCTATCAACATAAGGATGGTAAGATTACAATACTCATTGTGTATGTCGATGACATTATTTTGACTGGAAATGGTCTTGAAGAAGAACAAAGACTCAAGAGGAAGTTGGCAGAAGAGTTCGAGATTAAAGACTTTGGGAGCCTCAGGTATTTTCTTGGAATGGAGATTGCTGGAAACAAAAGTGGCATTTCAGTCTTACAGAGAAAATATGCACTAGATCTCTTGAAAGAAACCGGGATGTTGGGTTGCAAACCAGTAGAGACTCCTATAGAACCAAATAAAAAAAAAGGAAGTTGTAAGGGATAATAGTCCTGCAGACAAGGGCTGCTTTCAACGTCTAGTTGGAAGACTTATCTACTTTTCTCATACTAGACCTAATATAGCCTTTGCGGTGAGTAAAGTTAGTCAATACATGCATTCTCCTACTGAAGAACATTTAGAAGCTGTCTATAGGATTCTGAAGTATTTAAAAGGAACATTAGGACGAGGTTTATTCTTCAAGAAGGGAGAAGATAGAAACATAGAGGTCTATACTGACGTAGATTGGGCTGGCGATGTTGAGGACAGAAGGTCTACCTCGGGGTATTGTACTCTTGTGTGGGGTAATCTTGTAACTTGGAGGAGTAAGAAACAAGTAGTTGTTGCTAGAAGTAGTACAGAGGCGGAATTGAGATCAGTAGCTCACGGGATTTGTGAGGGTTTGTGGCTGAAAATGTTGTTAGATGATCTGAAGGTTGGAGTTACTGTGACAATAAGGCAGCTATAAATATCTCGGAGCGCATGATGAGCCTCCCCACAACTAGGAAGCTTGTATTGAAGAATAAGATCGTTTTTGGCACTGGCGATGCGTGGCATGCCCCGACTATGACAGCAAATATGGCATTTGTGAGAGCAATTTCTCAGACTGGGATGTCCCTGTTCACCATTGGGCATAGACCCCGAGCTTTAACTGGTGACTAAGCCATATGTCTGTCAATGGTGAAACAATGGCCTCTGGGCTAACGCTTGGTTGCAAGGGATTCCTTCTTCAATTGAAGTAGTTGCATAATGTACATATCCGTTAACAATTTACGATGAATAGATTTCGGAGAATGAAATCCTTATATGCTAGGTAAAACTTTGTATCAGCCTCTAAATTATGATAAACACAATTTTGATGAATCCTTTCTTCTGTCCGGCAATTTAGATAATGACAGAATTATGATAATTACACATTAACGACACAAAATGCCCACATGTTTCTAAAAAAGAGTCATACATTGCTGAAGAGTTTCTTAAAAAATAAAACCCATAAATGAAAAAACTTGTGTTTTCCTGTGCAGAAAAAAAAAGTGTTTTATGAGGAAAGATTCATAAGATTTCTGCTTCCTCAAAATCAATGTTACCTTCATGTTGATGTCTTGTGCATGAAATGAAAGTAGTAAAGTATTCAACCTATGAAAGCAGGTATATTTTTGGTGTGCTATATATTGGTCAAAGCAGGTTAGTTGCTTTTGCTTTTAACCCAGCACCTACTTTTGAATGATCATAATATTTTGCGCACATTCTGATCCGTGTATTCAATATCACAGGAAGTAGGTCGAACTGGAACTGGTTGTTCACCAACCATTCAATGAAGGTGGCTTAAGTAAATAACCGCTGGTTTTGGCCACATATTATTGTAATCGTCTAAAAGAGACGTTTTTGACATTTGCCTCTCCATTTTAAATGCCCTAGGATTATTGGATCTGGAATCGACTGTATAGGATTGGAGAGGATTATATTATGTCTTGTATTTGGTAAACAGCCGGATTAGATAACGCTTAATCACCGAAAAAAAAAAATTACAATCCAACTTTTGGTTCATACCGAACTGAACTAAATTGAATGTAATTATTGAAGCATTCTGGCAACTTGATAGTGTCTTACATGAAAGAATAATAACTTTACATGGGAAATGAAACAACACAGATGAAGACCTGGAGTGATGGCGAAAGTATAGAAACTCTAAAACTGTTTGGATATAATGAAAGAAACGGAAGAGAAATGCTTAAAGCTTTAGTCTAAACTTGCAATTGCTGGCCTTAATGCTGATCAAATTGTTAGTGGATAGACTATCCACCACTAACAAGCATTCCCCCAAAACTTTGACCTTCCTCAACTGCAACTTGCCAAGTCTAATTGCCATTGGTGCATGAACCTTAAGATCCAAGGGAATGCGTCCCATTTGTTGTTGCTCCTGCAGTGCTGTCATCAGCGTATTTCCATGCTGGCTTTGGCCTGTCAATGCTACATTCAGCATTGTTTTGTTCTGGTGGCCTTGGTAGAAGACTGGCAATGACCCTTCACAAAGCTTAGTTTTTGTGTACCAAACACTTAATTTGCCTCCTTTCTTGTAATAAATTCCGATTTTCTTGTTCGGATTGTTGGCCGTGAAGATCACGTCGAATTTGGCATACAGGGTCATGTCGAAATTGAGCCTCAGGTCGCTGATCCTTAAGTTGTCGATGGAGTAGTTGGGGAGTTTTGGTTTGAAAACTAGGTAGAGAATGCCGGCCGTGGCTGCAATGGCAATCAGTAGGAGGACAATGAGGCTTATTGTCCAACATACACACTTGCAACAACAGCTTCTGTTTTTGGTAGGAGTTGCTCGGATTGCAGGCATTGCGCGCTGTAATGGAGGGAGGTGCTGAATGCGAATTCCTTTATCGGAGGGCGACGTACCACGAGGCACCAACGGTGTTGTTGGCAGCGCTACCACATCTGCTGCTGGATGAATCCTTTGTCTCTGATGGTCTGCCATTCGTGTGAATGATGTTGGTAAGAGTGCTTTAGTCTGTTTATTTCTTATCTTGAAATGCAGAGTTCAACCCCAAAAAACTCTGTTGGAAACTTATTAACACCATTATAAATTTATATACAAGGAATACAAGCTTCCTAATTGAGCCTCTCTTTGAGAACGCTTTGATAGGAATGGCTTGAGTTGTTCTGCATATGAGGCTTTTGGGGTGCCAAAGGTCTTCACCTTCCTTACCTAATCATACCATATAGGTGCGGAAAATGTGGGTAGTTCAGCTAAGTAAAAGGCATACACTATTTCTTCGTATATTTAGCGCATCTTAATAAATTATGTTGTAATCGTAACATTGATTGTGGCAGTTGCTGTACAGTATTAAAATTTATATGATATATGATTTATTTACAACACTATCTATTATATACATATAGAGACATTTATATCCTTATCTAATAAAAAGAAAAAAAAATAATGCGACAACAAAATAGAAAAGAAAATGAAACAAAATCTGAATAGGGAAAGTTTTTTATGAAAAAAGAAGAAATATCCACCGAATATTTTAAAAATCTCAGCCTTAAAAGTTTCCAACCTCAATAGTTATTCCAAATTGAGTCCTTCCACTCTAAAATCAAATGATATTTTCATTATTGAATAGTCAGATCATTATGAAACAAAATATGTAATACAAAAGAAAACGTACAATCAGACAGCTTTTCATTAGTTTAATAGTGATATTATTTCAAAACACACTGAAAATAAAAAAAAAAATTGCAACAAGTCTCAAACAATCAACATGCACGTATTCATGAACCCATAATAGATCATTTCGTTATTGTAATGATTCCACAATTGTGAAAAAGAATGAATATAAAGTTTGAGATGACTTGGGCAAAATCAGACGCTGAAACAAATGTGTTTCTAGATGGACAAAAAAACACAAAAATATACACTAAAATTATGATCAGATCGATAATGAAATAAAATTTCTAATAGAAAAGACACTAAAATGAACTCATCAAAAAACATTTCATTACTTTAATAATGGTATTATGATGAACTATACTAAATATAAAAAATTTGCAAAAAATTGGCAAAGTTAGGCACCAGAACAAACGTGTTTTTGATTGGGCTAAAAAATACGAAAATGTACAAAATTAATACATATTTTCATTAAAGTTTATGATCATAATATAATGAAACAAAATTTCTAATAAAGAAGAAAAACTAAAATGAAGTCATAAAAAATCATTTTATTACTTTAATAATGATATTATGAAACAAACTGGATCACACTTTTAGCTTCTTATTCAGAAAATTGAAGTGGATAGATATGTCCATATTGGATTGCTTTGTGTACAGAAAGACCCTGAAGACAGACCTATAATAGCAACAACAGTTCTCATGCTTAATACCTCCTCAATCCCACTGCCACCGCCCCAAAGCCCTGCATCGTAGAACAAAGATTGATGTATCTGAATCAAAGCTAGTGCTGGATGAGTTTACAGCTGTGAAATTCCACTCGTTCTCTCTTTTACAAATTTAGGGTCCGTTTGGTTCGCGGATTCGAGTTTTTAATTTGAATTAAGATGTAACTTTATGTTAAAGTTTTGTACTGTAGCCAAAAAAAAAAAAAAAATTAGATGTGACTGTTTCTGATAGCTTTTTACTATAGCAAAACTCGAATTCTAAATTCAAATCAATGAAATGAACAGGGTCTAAGTATCATTTAGCCAAGTTAGTCCCACATTAGTGAGACTAATTAATGTTAGAAGTGTTGCTTGAGAATAATAGAGAATAAGTTGTAAATGATGCAGGCAAACTTGCAAATACAACCATTATTTTGTGCATATATTATTAAAATGAAATGTTTATTCGAAAGGAGTTCTGAGAGAGAGTCGAGTCATTCACGAGTCTATTTCATTATAAAACATGAGTTTCCTTCTTTCCGGATTTTCTAATGGAACAACTGGTCTTATAATATAATTGCTTTATTGAGTTTTTCTGTGATGAGCAGTTCCAGTAGCCTATTGAAGTTTAATTGTTAAATCAGGTTTACAACTATTGAAAATAACTTGCATATATTTCAACTAAATTGCCTTAGCAATTGATAATTATTTCCCCTTAAAGAACATGATATAAGGATAGAGAAACATGTAGTGGGTTTTTCATATATACCCGGTTCACCGCTGCGGGATTGACTCGAACCTTAGACTTTATAAAGGAGAATGAGTAGCCTTATCACTGCTGAAATGACTGGTGGTAGTAACTGATAAATTGAGCAGCAAGGTCAAGAAAAAAAAAGTAAGAAGCCAGACAAGAGACAACTGACAACATATTTTGGAAAATTTCTTCTAATCATTTAGATATAATCAATGATGAATATCCTCATATAATGATCAAACTCTAGGGTTGACGGTTTATCATTTGGTGATGGATAAAGTTCATTAATTGGAGAAAAAACACAAACCAGGTACCCACACACACTTGACAGGAAAGCAATTTTAAGACCTCACTCCCTTCAATTAGTCAAAACCATCTAAAACCTTAGACAATTAATTCTGAGCAGTTTGTAAACATGTTTATACAATACAGAAAACTATAGTGGGTCCAGAACATACAAGCGATTGTACACTTGCTACTAAAAATCCATCATAAGAAGGATGACTGATTCCCATTTGTGGCCAGCTGCTCTTCATCAAGTTGTTGAAGCAAGAGGAAGTTGCATGGGCATGTGAATAACACAACGCAAACATTTCCCCTCACTCATGAGATTGAAAGCTTCATTGATATCTTCGAGTGGCAGGTTATGTGTAATGTAGTCGTCAATGTGGATTTGCTGCACATAGTAATTTTGGATTTTTACATGCTTTACTCAGAACCATAAAGAAGACTTTCACATTGTTATGGTCATTATACATGAACTGATATCAACCGCGGAGGTTTTCATATCTGTTATAGGTTTTCATATCCGTTATTTCTTAAGGCTACACACTCATGGTTAACACATCATCGAAAGCCTTGTCAGAATAAATAAATTAAGCAAGTTTTCATTTCCTTTCTGTTTTCTTAGCTCACCCTCTTTTTTCTTAAGGCTACACACTCATGGCTATATGTATTTGTAATGTGTTTGTTATTTTCTTTTTATAGAAAACTCAAAAATTTTATTAATGGAATCTGGAAAAAAAAAGGGCAACAAGATGGATGAGGTATCCACCCTGAAACACCAAAAAACAGAATTGACTCTGAATAAAATGACACAATCAAACGAAAACAGATAATGCGTTTATTAATAAAAGGAAGTTAAATAACTTGAGAGAAAAACTTCGAGTACAATAAATCTTATATGCCTCGATTGCTCGAAAAGATTAAGTTGATAAATATAACTTAAGAATCCAAGAACTATCATAGATTAACATGTACACTTCAAAAGTTTTATAACATGTTTCCAAATCTATGCCAAAGGAACTTGAGCCTTGATAACCCAAATTCCATAATAAATGAACTTGAGCCTCGATAACCCAAATTCCATAATAAATGAACTTGAGCCATGATAACCCAAATTCAATAATATTTATGGGCTACATAATATATACCTGATTCATGATTTGGATCACATAATTATGATTTACATAAGAAACATAAACCACAGGAAAAATATTTCTAACAATGAAAAGCAAATTTACCATGGTTATATTACCTTTTTCATGTACATGTCGACTAATGAAGGGAGGTCAGATTTAGGTCTCCATCCTCCAAATAAAGATCCTTTTAGTGTTCTTCCAGTTAGCAGTAATCCGTAGTGTGCAGTTACTACTGGATTTACTTTTGGTACACCAAGTGTAACAGTCAAACCCCATCCCTAAAGAGAAGACGCCAAAGAGAATGAAGCCAAGTGCACTAATATAAAATTTTATTATTCAAAATATAAAACTGAGATTATTTTCAAAATTACATCGCAACATGACTCCAATGCAGTTGTTATCATTCCAGTATCACCAATGCACTCAAAGGAGTAGTCTGCCCCTCCATCCGTAATATGCTTAACAACCTGAACAAAGCAAGCAAACAAACAATTTCAGGGCAAACTACTTCTTTCTCAAAAATGATGGAGTAGTTGAAAACGTAGGCAAATTTTCTTTAATTTTATCTAGTTCATTATTCATATCTATTTAATTATATTGACTAGGTTATCAATAAGACTGTAAACAAATAACATCAGCCAATCCTTATTTGCTGTTAAAACTGTCTTTATTCCTATGATTGTCCATGGAAGGGAAATAATTATCACCGTGGTTTGATCGGATAAATACCTGCTGAATACATTCATTACATTCATTTGGATTGATAAAATCTGTAATTCCAAAAGCTTTTGCTGTGCAGCCGAAATAGACACATTATTAAACAAGGGATTTCAAATTTGTTAGATTCATACAAATCCAAACTTACAAAAGTAAACATCTTTTACCTTTTTCACCTTTT